AAATAGAATATGGGTTAACTAAGATAGGCTTACTACGAGCCTCGGAGGCCTTAAGTTCACCCAGGTCCTAGTGCCGCTCCGGCCCACGGAAACCAAGTGAAAATCGGAGCAAATCTTTGATTTGGACCAAACCCAGATCAAATCGAACCAGAATGACTTATCAAACCAAGAAATTTCTTTTTTCTTTCATTTCTTTTCTTTCTCTCCTTCTTTCTTCTTCTTCGTCCAGCAGTAGTCAGCCCCTCTCTTCCTCTCTTTGCGTTCCGGCCACCTGAGCCAGCTGACGCCACCACCCCTCGCCATCCCGCCACTAGCCTCTCTCTTTCTCTCCCTCTGTTTTCATTTTGGGTGAATCGCAACAGCGCCATCGCTCTTTGCTATCTCAGCCTTCGGTCGCTACTGCAGATCGACACAACAACGCCGTGGTTCGTCACCAACCACTGCTACAGCAGCCAGCCCACTAGCTCTCTCTCTCTATCAGTCGCGACCGCGCAGCACAAGTCGCGAGCGCGAGATGAAGTCGCGGGCGCGCTTGTGTGATTCGCGAGCGCGAGATGCTTGTTGCATATAAATGCTTGTATGTTGTTTTAATCCATGTTCTTAGGTTGTATTTTTGTTGAAAAATGATTGGATGCATGCATGTTGAGCAAAGGAATGTAATTACATGGCAAATGAAAGGCAAAAGAGTGTCACAGCATAAGTCGCGAGCGCGCAATGGGAAGTTGCGAGCGCGACGTGCTTTCCAGCATGCGCGAGCGCGCGACGTGATTCTGTGCAGTCTGTATTCTTTTGGCCATAACTCTCAATAGCTAATTCCAAATTGAGTGATTCAAAAACGCGTGTCAAGCTAACACAGAAAGGAACAAATAACTCTTCTATGACAATTCCTAATTCCATCATTAAAAGGGTTCAAAATCAAGATGAAGTTGTTGGTAAAATTTCCAGCAAACTATGTTTCCACTTCATATAGTCATCCCCTGTTTTCACATCATATCCAATCTTCTCACTCAACAATAAGCAACATATCATCTCACTAGCAACACCACACAATTTACATGCAAAGAAACTAATAAACAACATGAGATATCAAACCTTGACGTCAAAAGCTTGACCAATGAAGATATTCAAAACCCTTGACGTAAAAAGCTGACCGCCTGTTTTCATGCTTCTCTTTCTGCACCGTTTTGAACCTTTATACTTTCTTCTCCTATACACAAGAATTCTCATAACTCATCTCCAATATCACTAAATGAAATAGGAAATAACATCACACTTCAAGGAATTTTACTTACTTGAAGTTGACTTAATGCTTCACTATGTTGACAATTGAAAGAAAATGGGCGGGACAAGTAAGAAGAGAAGGAGAAACGTGAAAATGGGAAAGTGAGTTGATAAGAACGGGTAGTCTCTAGATGAAATGACTTGGCTGTATAACCTCTCTAATTGGCACCTCAAGTGTACAAAGGCTACAACTTAATACCCAAGCTGTATATTTTAATGCAAACAAGTCCTAACCTTTATTTGCAAATAAGTCCACTTCTAATCTCTTTCTTCCACCTTCATAATCTCTTTTCTACCCAACCAGGTTTGGGTTTCAACTCGACTCAACCTCACTCTAGTGCAAAAAGACTCGACTATTGCAAAGACTCGACTTCGCGTAGGATGTCACAACTGTCTCTCTCTCTCTCCTCTTCCGTTCCGCGACGACACACACTCAACTCTATGCAAAGACTCGACTATGCAAAGACTCGACTCGGTAGGATGTCACACTGTCTCTCTCTCTCTCTCTCTCCGTTCCGACGAGCACAGCCACCGTCTTCAGAAACTCCGGCCAAGCAATTTCTACCAGTAATAATTTTGGGTATTTGAAATTATTTCTGGTTATTTTCCAGAAAATTAATTAATTTCTAGCATTTTGTGGCTAGCTAATTTAATTTTGGATATTTTCCAACATATTTCACAAATATTGATTATAATTAGAAGGCTTTAATAAATTAAAATAAATTTTAATTATTATCACATAAATTTAATTGAAGAATTTTAATAATAAAATTGATGGGAATTATAGTATAGATTTAAGATAGGTTAGACCAGTGTATATTATATACTAAGACATAAAAGAAGAATTTGATGGTGGATTAAAGGTTAAGGTTATACCATAAAATAAAAGAGGAATATATGTAATAAAATTATATTCTTGATTGAGATAAGTTCAAATGATATAAATGTCCTTTATGATTATAGATAATATAAGGTTTTAGTAATTAAAAATGAAGTTAGTTCCTTAATTTAGTTTACGCTAATGACTATTGAGGATTAAGAACCAAAAAAGAAAATTAATTAAATACTTAACGAGCTATTTTAGAGACAAAAAGTAATTTAAGAAAAAGAGAATTGGTTGATGGAAAGGTAGCAATTATTTCAAAATTAAAATTATATTATATGAATTAAAATGGTGGTGAATTAGGTTATATAAAAGGTATGGTAAGTTAATAAAAATATTAATATTAATGGTTAATCTAGAATGATATGTGAGGATATACCGAGATCAAATTGAAGGTTTATTTTAATCTATATGCTAAGAGTTAAATTTAAAATTATTATTTGTGGTGATTGAGTATTTGGATTATTGATCGCCTGATGGGCGGGCTGTATGAATAATAATTGATAAGTATATTAAACCGTTAGTGTTTGAGTAAATGAAAAGTCCTATTTTAAGGAAAATGCTGCTAGAAATTTCGGTAGAATTTAGATTAATTATTATAGTTAAATATCTAAGTATATATATATATATATATATATATGAAGTTAGTTCCTTTATATTTATGTTTTATCTAGATCGTTCTACTGCTCTTGCTAATTAAAATCCAAATTAAAGCTTGCCTTTTCTTCTATCACTACGAATAATAATAAATAGTGCATATCATTATTTGCATACATGCATAACCCATTTCACATATTATATATATATTCACCTTCATTCTTTTAATACTATATTGTTGAGATATAATTACTTACAATACTTCCACCTTATGGTTATAATATTATAAGTATATGAATAGTAAATAATTATATATATTTCCATAGTTATTTTCATACATGCATATTGATTTTCTACGTGACTTACTATATTGTATGAGTTGATTGTATTACTTGCAATGTGATTATACTGTGTCTTGTTTCCGTATGGAATTGCAATGACGTGGGTTACTATGGGATTATGAGGGTGGTCTCAGATACCATCGGCCATATATGAGAGATTAGCGCACCTGTGTGCATCTATATATAAATGATATGAAAAACCATAGGGTGGCCTCCTGTTGGTAATAGAAAGAAAATAGAGAATGAAAAATAATAAGAGGACTGGTAAAGCAAGGATTAGACTGGTTGGCCACATATGGGGATCGAGCTCCTTGGTGCACACGTATGAGACGATAAGCTATGTGTGAGGACGGCTTGTTGGGGGTTTCGGTGACGCCACTCACTAATCTCCGCTTGATATGATTATGTAAAGATGCAATTAATTGTGGATGTGGATGCTGTGACACGTGCTTAATGAATTGTGTATTCATTATATAAATTTGGAAAGCATTTTGCGTGATTGTTTGGGCTATGTATTATTTATTATTATTCATTGAGTTGTAAAACTCATCCATTCCTTTAAATTTTTTCCCAGGAGGTAAATATCTTACTGGTCTAGATAAACTCTATTTCCTTCTTCACAAAGTTACAATAGTAACTTATGGCTTTTTGATAATGTTTAAATATATAGTTTTATTTGCAAAAAAGTATCTGTTTCTATTTATTGAGATCCACAGTTAGGGTGTTTGTGTAATATTTTGTTATGTAAAATTTATCAGTGTGTTGTTCAATAAATCTATCGATTTTCTAATTGTCTATCCAAGAGTACTCATAGACCAATTTGTCCATATTATGAATGACATGAATTGTATATAAAATATAAGTTCGAGTTATGAGTTATTTGAAATATTAAAGCTGAGCCAAAAATATAAACTGACTGTGCAATTTAATAATACTGTAATATGGATTTATTATTGCTAGAGTCGGTTTTAAAAAAATGGATTTATGTAAGTTAGGTTTACTATGAGCCTCTGAAACTTTAAGTTTACTTGGACTCTAGTGTCGGTCTGGCTCACGATTTTAAGTCGTGACAAAGAGTGAAATTTTAAAAATAAAATATGACTAGTGTATTTAAATATAGCAAGAACTAAATAGTAATTATTCAATCAAATAACAAAAATAATGGGAGAATAGGCTATAAGATAATTTAAAATCATTAGGTTATTCTAATTTCATAGGGGAATAGAACACGTTCCCAAATAAGAATATATATATACAAAAATAATGGGAGAATAGGCTTATAAGATAATTTAAAAAATTCATTAGGTTATTCTAATTTCATAGGGGAAATAGAACAACGTTCCCAAAAATAAGAATATATATATATATATATATATATATATTATATATATATAAAACGGAATGCGGATTAAGATCTATTCCTATCATTATTGAAATGTAACTCCACGGAGATCCATGTGTAAATATAATATCTATAATATTTTTTATCGCAAGTAAAAATGTGAAAAAAACCATCTTAAAAGCCCAGCACGCGTGGAGTTGAAAAACAGCAAGTAAACTGAGTACCCACGTGGCCATAAAAAGGAACTCGTTCCAAAGAAAATTTAAAAGAAAAGTTTTTTTGCAGGCCTTAAAGCGAGCACAACCCACATAAAACGGATCGGATTAGATCTATTCCTAATCTTAATTGAAATGTAACCACGGAGATCCATGTGTAAATATAATATCTATAATATTTTTATCCAAGTAAAAATGTGAAAAAACATCTAAAGCCCAGCCACGCGTGGAGTTGAAAACAGCAAGTAACTGAGTACCACGTGGCCATAAAAGGACTCGTTCCAAAAAAATTAAAAAGAAAAGTTTTTTGCAGCCTTAAAAGCGAGCACAACCCCAACAAACAGCCTTAGCCCAACTCATCATCACTTACGCACATACATTATCAAGCATCCATCCCATCCCCTTCCCGTTCTTTCAACACCTTATAACTACAGCCCGAATCACTTCTTTCCCTTTCTTTATTTTTCTGTTTAGGCTTTAGCTTCAAAGCTCTTTACCTTAACACTCCCCGGCCTCTTCCTTCTCTCTGTGGCGGCGGCTCTTTCAATTTCTAGCTCTCTCTTCCTTTAAAGATTTGGATTCTTGGATCGGTTTCTTTGCTCTCTTTCTGTTGCTCGATCTGCAATTGAATCGATCTGGGTGTTTCGGATTTTAAACTTAAGAACCGCCATGATTGCGGCCACGCAAGAACAGCAACAGCAGCAGCAAGGAACAGGGACCGCATCGTCTGTTGAGGAAGAGGCCTTGAAAAGGAATACAGATTGCGTTTACTTTCTTGCTTCTCCTTTAACCTGCAAAAAGGTTTTATCTTTTTTCTCTTCTCTCTCTTTTTTTATTTATTTTATGGTATCCTTGTAGTTTGGGATCTTGGATTTGTTTGTAGCTAGGGTTTCAGATTTACGATTTAGCTTTGTTGGATTAGGTTTCGATTATTAGAACTTCAATTAGTTTCTTATGAGATTCTTGTGGATTTGATGACTATATTCGGTCTTTTTGGTTACTCTTAGAGGCATCTGATATATAGTCTTTCAAATAGCCTGTGCATGGAGATTGATGAATATTGAAGTTTCTTTCACTTAGAGAAAGACTTAGATCGATTTCTGTTAAGTTTTTGTTGAGGTTTCATGATTATGTTTAGTTACTTTGCAGTTGTTTTTCTGCTTTGTTGCTAACTTGGCATTTGAGGACTGCTTTTAAGGGTTTAATATCAAATTGTGAGCAAACGATATAACCCTTTTCTGGGATAGATAATTTGACATTGTAATTTTCTTGATAATAATATTTACACCTGAGCTTTTGCAGTTTCTTCGTCCTTTTGCTTCCAGAAAGTGAATAATTTGCAATTAGTTCCAAAATAAAATTTCATCAATAGAATAGAATTAGAACATTATTTAATTATTAGTCTTTTGGGGTATGTTTGAGCTTAACCACCCATTTCAGTTTTTAATACTCCTTATTCCTAATTTCTGTCTACAGGGAAGTGAATGTGAGTATCGCCATAGTGAATATGCTCGGGTTAACCCAAGAGATTGCTACTTCTGGTTGAATGGAAATTGTTTGAATCCAAAGTGTGGGTTTCGTCATCCGGTAAGCATATATTATTATTTCATGTTGACCTTATAATTTTCTTTCTTGATTTTTCTTTCCGTATCTATTTCACGGCAACGTAATAATGTTATAAATGTGGTTTGTGAATTAGTGTTTCCTTTACTGCCATTAGAAAGGTACATGTTTGCTTGATTAATTTTCTTTTTCAAGCTCATGGTCGTTGAATATTGATCTTCTCATTTCAGCCTCTTGATGGCTTGTTTGGAAACCAAGTTTCAGCAGCTGCCGGATCTTCTTTGCCTCCGTCACATATGGCAATGGCACCAGCCATGCACGCTCCTCAAAGTACAGGTAAACAAGCAGTCCCATGCATTTTCTTCCAGAAGGGGCTCTGCTTAAAAGGTGATAGATGTGCTTTCTTGCATGGACCAAATCCCACTAGTAACAAAGTAATGGGAACCTCTAGTACTGATCATGCATCACTAAAGAAGTCTTCCGGTGGCCCACAAAAGTCGATTCAAGAGCAGAAGATGCCACAGAGAAATTTCTCAAAGGCAGTTGAAATACCTGCTGAAGCTAAACTGGCACCAAAACCAGAAACTGTTCCACCAAGAAATGGGTTAGGAGTTAAAAGCATTGATGATGAGCTACCTAAGTACAAAGCAACAAGTATTCCTCATGTTGTCAATGGAAACTCAAGTCGCTTCAATCGTTTGCATCAATCGCAATTACCAGATGATCATGTTTTCCAGGATGGCAAGGATTCTGATGAGTTTTTAAGGGAATGCTCTCCCGGTTTTGATGTTCTTGTAGATGATGAGTTGAGAAATTCTGATTATCATCATGGTGAAGATCAATATGGAAGGAGAGGTCATGAAGGAAGGAACTTGAACCCTGGGGATGAATATGATGTGGGTCTTGCTGCTGATTACAGTTCGGTGGCCGACATTGACCGGGAAACATATCGTGATCTACGAGGCTATGACACCTATAGCCGCATGCAAGGGCAGTATGCCTGGGAGCAGCATAGGGCTTCGTCAGAGAGAGTGCCGGCAGGTCCAGCTCATATAGAAAGGAGAGGTTACTCAAAAGCAGACAGCCCTGAACCCATCGATGAGTCAGATCTGCGTTATCGTCTATCTAAACATAGGAGCGTCAGTGGCTTGAGATCAGTTGTCAGTCATGATTTTGTCCCTGACAACCATGTTGAGGAGAGAGGTTATCGTGGTTCCTCACGAATGGACTCACATAATTTGTCCTCACATGAGAATGCTATTAGCGGTCGCCTCCGTGGTAGAATAAAGCTTCCTGGAAGATCTCCGAATGGTAGTGATCCACGTGTAGAAAGGGAACTAGACAGGGGTAGGAATCGGCCGAGATTGTCACCAGGTAGGTCTCAGATTCCATCCCATCAAGCAAGGATTCGTGACAGAATAAAAGCTAGGGTGGAAGAGGACTACAGTAGTGAAGGGAGAAATCTTAGAGGTGCTAGAATGAGGAGAGAAATAACAGATGAGGAGAGAGATACTGATTTTGCTGCTCCTAAAAGTCTAGCAGAGCTGAAAGGTATAAGAGGTACAGAGATTGGTCAGGTACAGCAATCCCTTAGAAAAAGAAAACAGTTAGAAGATTATCAGCCATCTGAGGGTGATCTTTCATTTGAAGGGCCAATGCCTCTTAGTGAGATTCTAAAGAGAAAAAGAGGGGCTGAAGCAGCAGCTTCTGGTATCAGAACATCTTCTAGAAATAAGGAAGATGATTATCTGAAAGAAAGCAAGGAAAGCTTGCTTGGCAGCTCAAACACAGTTTCAGAGGCACAAGGTGGTCATTCGTCCATAAAGGATGAATCTAATAAACAAGTGCTTAAAGATGAGGAAGAAGCAAAGTCTGAAATAGCAGGCACTATTGGAACAGCAGGAGAAAAAACTGAAGTTGCACTTGGTCAGCATGCTTCGCGACTGCCTAATCCAAGTGAACCTGAGACTGAAGATGGGATTATGATTGATGATGGTATGGAAGATCACGAGTATGAAGCTGATGATCAAAGGGAGGGGGACTATGAATATGAGCAAGTCGATGAAGGGGAATATTATGAAGAGGGTGAGAATGCAGAAGCTGAGGAGTCTGTAGATGAGGAAGACGGGGATGACTTTGCGAAGAAGATTGGTGTGATGTTTTCATGAGGGGCATAGAGAAGTTAATGCTTGTCACCATTATAGTGATTTATTGACTGCCTTTGGAAGTCATTAAGGTTGGCTGGTTTTGATCCACAAAGGTTTAGTTGTCATGAATTTTGTTTGTAGAAGTAGGGAATCAAGTTCTTCTTCAGTATTAATTTTAAGTTTTTCATTGTATTTAAAACTGATTGAATGGAAATTTTCCTTGTGCTTGGGGTGACTAGCTTTAGCCCATCAGTTCATGCTTGCACAAAGGCACGACTGTAACAGTAGAAAATTAATAAGAAAACTGCTGCTTACTCTTCTGAAAATTTCTTGCCAGTTTCTTTTCTTCAATGTGTTCATTCGCTTAGGTTTATTATGTTCTTCACTTCTTTGCATTTAGAAAACAAATATGGTTTTTTAAATATTGGAAATATAATCACAATATTAACAGAAATATTGGCATCATATGTTTTACAATAGAATTTATATTATTGAATTCATTCTAGAAATTAGCCTTTGCTTTGTATAAGTTCATTTTATTTTATCCTATAATTCAATTTATGCGATAAAGTTTATTTGATTGTCCATTAAAAAATATTGTTATCTTTTATTTATTTTTTAATTTATATTTAATATATAAATCAAATTTTAATTCTTTAAATTTTTGTCTATCATTATTTGGTTTCTTATATTTAACTATATAATTATTTGGTTCTTTAAATTTAATTTACACATAATATAATTATATTTGTTGATAAACCAATTATATATGATGTATCTTTTCACATTACAATTGATTAAATTTGTTAGCTACTTTTATTTATTAATTGATTTATTAAATTTATCATTATTTACAATTTAATTATAGTTGGAATTGAAAATAAAGCGAAGCTAATAATAAAGGCAATAATTATAGGTTCAATAAATTCTAAATTTAAAAGTAAATTAAGATTACTTAAAATAGAAATATCACTGCCTACATGTTGAGCTACAAAAGGTTTTGAAAGAACATAGAACGAGGAAGCATAAACATTCGTTTCTTTAAATCTCACCTTCAATATATGATTGATAGATTTATCTATTTATAGAAGTATGATTTCATATCGTTTGAAGCTTAAGACTTATTTCAATTCTATTCTATAAAGCAAACAAACTAACAAAATATCTTATAACAAGTGGAATAACCTTTTTACCCAACAAATAACTTTTATAAAGTAGTAGATAAAATACTTTGTAGGTGAACAATTGGCATTTATGACGAGATTCATAATTACAATTATTGAAAGGAAAAAAAAAAACATTTTACCCTTTCAAATCCGGTCAGTAATATTAATTGTTTTAGTAAGAGATAATATTAATTTTGGTACTTGTACTTGTCATTTTTTTCTATTTTGGTGTCTGAACGGAAAATTGTGACAATTGAGTGTCTAAGTTTGTAATTCTTTTTCATTTTAGTGTCTCCTGATGACATGGACTACCGAAAAATTTAATGGGACTATTTGGGATCCACAAATGCCTACGTGTCCACTTACGTGGACTGACTAATTTTATATGTAGGACGCCCGCATGGCAAAAGGGATAAAATGTCCCATTTGCTTCTCTTTAATATCGCCCAAACACAATCCAACACCCCCCTTTTCCTCTCTCTTCTCAAATTATTCTGAAAACTCCTATCCAAAATCAAAAACCCAAATAAAAACCCTCATAGAATCACTTCATATAGAGAATGTGGGAAGGATAAAAAGAAACCCAAAACTTATGTTCTGATAAAATAAGTCAAAAGATCCAAATGCGAGACAACATGAAAATGGGGGAAAAGAAGCACTATAAGAGGAGGAGATATAGAGCATTCTTTCCAAACATTAAATATTTTGTGGAGTAGAGGGCCCATTTACCTCAACGGCATAACCTACCAAGTATAAGACTATATGACGTTCACCAAGAGAGAAAGAAAGAGAGGGACTCGAATAATGACACTTGTGGGTAATAATCCTGTAACCCAAATTATTCTGAAAACCCATATCCAAAATAAAAAAACCAGATGAAAAACCGTCTTAGAATCACTTCTATATAAAGAAAGTGGGAAGGATATAAAGAAACCCAAAACTTATGTTCTAATAAAAGAAGTGAAAAGATCCAAATGTGAGACAACATGAAAAGAGTCTCGTTTTGCATGCCACTCGGTCCGATTTTGTAAAAGTAGGCCCAGTTCCATTACGAGGCCCGACAGTGGCATTTTTGCCACGTCAGCCCTAAAATGCGGCTACCCACACTCATTTGCTTATAAATAGGCATTGAGGGGTGTGCCATAGGGAGGATTTTTTTGGAAAAACTAGGGGAGGTTCTTGCATTTTTAAAACTCAACCTTAAGATCCTAAGGTAACTTGTGTTTACCTTGGATTCAGGTTGAGATCTATCATTTAATCAATCAAAAAACCCCTTGTGATCAATCTGAAAACCTAGAAACACTAACTTCAATATCAAAACTCGGATCATAGAATTGAGGACTAAGGAGTTGGGTTTTTCATCCATTGTTTTAATCAATCTTTAAGGAAAACCACCAAAGGTAGTTTTTGAGAACCTTTAATCCATCTCTTCGTCCTTTTTCTTTTCTTTTTTGGTGTTTAAAACACCTTCTTTGGGTCTGATTATGAGAAAAACCTAGGATCAACCAAACAGGGGTTCTGCACTTCTGTGCTGTGAGGCTAACAAAAGTGGCGTGCACCACTACGTGTAGCGTGCGCCACTTCCTAGTGCCTCACGCCACTATTGCCCAGATCCCCTGTTTACACCCAATAAACACTAGAAGCCTTCTTAATTTGGGAATGGCCCTGTGCCAATGCATGTGGCGTGCGCCATAAGCATGAGGCACATACCATACCCCCTGTGGCGCAAGGCCTTTCAATTCAGAAAAAACACCTTCCTTTGGGTCTGATTTAATGAGAAAAACCCTAGGATCAACCCAAACAGGGGGTCTGCACTTCTGTGCTGTGGGAGGCTAACAAACAGTGGCGTGCACCACTACGTGTACGCGTGCGCCACTTCCTAGTGCCCCCACGTTGCCACTATTGCCCAGATCCCCTTACACCCAATAAACACTAGAAGCCTTCTTAATTTGGGAATGGCCCTGTGCCAATGCATGTGGCGTGCGCCATAAGCATGAGGCACATACCATACCCCCTGTGGCGCAAGGCCTTTCAATTCAGAGGCTTTGAATGAATAAAAATCTAATAAAATGTCCCGATTTGAAAGTCCAGTGGCTAAGCTCCGACCTTAAATGGTTCGTGATGCATATTAGGTCATATATAGATCAAATAAACAAATAAAACAAGATTGTTAGTAGATCAAATAAACAAATAAAACAAGATTGTTAGCCATGAATGGTGGATTTATTCATCCTTATAGGATAAACATTAAGACTATGAGCTTAAATCTTGTTAAAACCTTTAAATTCCTATCATTTAATTACTGTCTTTTATTTTACAAGCACTTTACTGTTAATGTTCCTTAAATATTTCCGTCTTTCAATATTTTGCCCTTTAGTTTAATGCTTTATGGTTATTATTGTACAAACTCCATCATTCATTAATCTTGCATCGTTAAACATTCACCATTATCATAATTATTGATTATGTGATATTTGTTTCTGTGAATGATTGTTATTATTTATGCTTGTTGTTTCCTTATGTTTGGAGTTATGTGTAATTCTTATTGCAAAATGTAAAGGGCAGTTAATGGGATTCCTATTGATTGCTTGTTGTAATAGTTAATTGGGTTTCGAAAATTTGGAGGGTTTAAGGGTAGATTGTATATTAGGAGATGAATTGTGATATTTTCTTCCCCCCTTCTTTGTGGATGCCTATTTTATGTTCTATGCTTGCAATAACTTGTATGAATGATATGGTTTTTTAAAAATTGCATTAAACCGTTTTTACACCTTAATTTTTAATTAATTGCATTATTAGATTATTGTGAATGTTTGGACAACATGGAGGCTGGTCTAACCGAGCGAAATGAATGTCTAACACCTTCCCATTTCGTACCTAACTCTCGGCCCCGTCTCTGGTTTAAAATTGGGTTAATCGACTCCAAAGAATCGATTAATTCGAGAATTTTTCCTAATAAGGATGGCGACTTCAAAATAAATAAAACCCTTACCAAAATAAGGGAACCATTTTCCAAGGAATAAACGAGTTTAATAAAAGAAAACCATTTTTTAAAATAAAATAAATCAAGCTCGTTCAATTCGGTTCTTCCAAATCATTCTTGGAAAAAACACGCATCCTTAGCTTGGTGACTCCGCTAAGTTGACTCCGAAAATTGTCCAAAATCTCTTGTTTTCGGTTTTGGGTTTGAATAAATGAGTTAACTCCGAAAGTTGTCCAATTATTCACAATTTTTAATAATATTATTAACTTTAAAAATTGAGTTTATTTTTTATACTTATAAATGTCATTTATGCATTTATTCTCTACTTAATCTCCTTTCTATACTAAACTTTATAGTTGCTATTGGGGGTTGTGATCCTTTCACTCTACTCGACTGTTTGGATCCGCCACCAATATACACCATCTATAAGTCAAGTACCATTTGGTATATTAAAAGAATTGGCACAATCCTTTATCACCATTCGCTTAGACCCAAAGCAAATGGGAGGAAACAACCAATTCTCGCTTATAGAACCCAAGACTTCATAAGCTTGACCTAAGCTCATGTGACTAGTTCCTTTCTCTAGGTTCACCTTAATAAAGTTTTATTTATAGCATTCATGTAATAAATGTAAGAGACAACGGTCCAAAATCCTGTGATGGTTTATGGACCCAACTTATATGTCCTAGGGTTAGAAAAGACCTTGCCTTGAATTATGTGTGGGTGTTATAAGGGTGGAGGTCATGCATTTTCTTACTCCCTTCCCCTTTGTTTGCATATAATTGCTATGATTGTGTCGTGCTTCATTTATGCATCAGTTAACTTGTCTTCTTATAGCCATTTAGGTATATTCGGTCATGGCTCAATCCTGATGATCAAAGCACCAAAGGACGAAAAACTTAAAAGAGGTATTGGAGGCAAAACGAGCTAAAAGAGCTCTGTCTAATGGTAACTACAAGGTTGAAACCCAAAAGCCAAAGAGGGAAGCTCCTCCGATTCTGACTCCAACGAAGGAAGACAATTAGAAGAGGCTCATCAACTCTTGCCTGAAATAAAACAAGCCCAACTTGAAATCAGGACTCTCTTCCAAGGTGTGGAGGCGCAATTTACTCTCATGCGCAATATCGCCAACCGCCTTGTGGAAATTGGTCATTTCACTCTAGAGGATGTGAAGCCA